CTAATAAAATTAAGGTTCTTTTCGTTGAAATTATAAATTATTTTCTAAAAAAGCTCACAACTCCATTAGTCGCTATATTTTTTTCTTTTTAAGACAATAACAATCCTCTTATTTTTCCCAACTCCACAATATTAAACATTATCTGTTTAAACAAGCTGGAGTAAAACAGTTGTCTGGGTCAAAATCCTTTCTTCATTACATCGTGGGTCAATACTTTCTGTCAGTAAACTAATGTAACATTACAGTCAAGTAGGCCATTATGCTTGGGGTTTAATTAGAACGTATGCGTAGGGTACATTGAGAGATAATGACCTGTAGTCATTAAAATCTTTAATAACGTGCAAACGAACCTAATACTGCAACAAGGTTACTTAGTAAGGGTTTTCCTGTGTTATTTTCACCTCTAAACATTTTTATAGGATTTTAAGTATTGTATACTCATTAAAATGTTTATGGTAGTATTCTTGATGTTAATATTAACTGTTAAAAATTACAAGGGTCTGAAACATATTAGTTTAATACCTTTTTATGAGGAATTTATGAGTTCGAATTTTTTACGAAGATTATTCTGCACTTTCGTTTTCATATAATTATGGCTCACTTAAAGAAGGATTTTGAGAGAATTTATGGCTAAATATGAAGATTTAAAATGTGAGACTAATATTGTAGTGTTTTTAGAACATGTAGGGACACACATTTTTCTTAGTATTTTTTTATACCAGTACTCGTATTTTTTCTAACTTAAACTCTCTTAAAATAAGTTTGAATGTAATTTGAAATCCTAAAGTGTATTGAAACATGTCAACGACAATTGATTATTGTAAATTAACTTTATTTCCATTCAAAATGTAATGTTAATTGTAAAAACGTAGCTAATTAATTGGCAACACCAGTAGTAAATTACAGCTAGTCAGCACCATGATCTAGGGGTTGCTCATGTTTTCCCTATTTCCTAGCCAATCAATCCACAGCACTTTAAAGTAGTTTTTGTAAAAACAAAAAAAAACAGGGTTTACAGTCCAAACGTCTTGTTACTGCACTACGTTTACGTTTTCTTACGTATCGGCATTATTTAAGTCCAATGAGAAATCTCATCCAATGTCATCTTGTTCCAAACCCGATCTCCCTTGGAATCGAACCAGCGACCCTCAGATTTAAGGCTTACACTATATCAACTCGGCAACTCAAAAACCTGTAGAAAGTTGCTGTTGATTTCTAATCATTGCTGACATATCCTACCCAATTACAGCGTTGAATAATTCGTTCTTCAATAAACAATGTTGAACTACGTTAATCGTTTACTTTCTTATTCCATGTAAAGTTCTAGTAATAAACGATTCAATCCCATTTAAAGCTCATTTTAAAATGTAGCTTTCAAAAGCAGAATGATGGATCACTTGAAAGAACAGCGATCCTTCAAACTTTTTAAACACAGGTTTCTTGAATGAAAAGTTAACATTTTGACTTACGGAGTATTCAAAATTGAGGTACCGTAAGCCTGTATATTGAGACATTAAAATATCAATGCGCAATTCAAGATTTACTATATTAGAGAAGTTAAGTACTAATCTTGTGGCCAGGCTACGTAAAGTAAGATTTCATTATGGTTTGATCCATGGTGGTATGCAAGAAAATAATTTTATTTGTCAAACATTTTGTTTTGCAGGCCAACCATTCAAAAAGAGTATACAATAAAATAATACAATAAAAATTTTGTATTGTATTCTTTTATTTTATACATATTGTATTTACTTGTACCTTGTAGTTCCTCTGTACCATGAAAATATATAGATTTATTGCAAATGTCATATCATTTAACTATAACAGTGTTGGAATTATCACTTCGTGAACATACATATGACATAAACAATAAATGGTGGACTGATTTATGAATGAAAACTAAAGACGAGGTTATACATTTAATTAGATTCCTTCTAGGCTGTTCTAAGAAAATTTGGGCAAGAACTCAGAATCCTTCCTCATCTTTCGTTTTTATGTAATAATCGAAATCTAATCAGGCTAAAAGCCAGGACAAGTTACGACATGTTTTGGCCAGTGTGGAGTCATAGTACGCACTATATCTGTTGATTTGTTGAATTACTAATATCTGATTCCAAATGGCGTCCTTTTATCACACACTTATCATTTATTACTTGCCTGTTTGACCACTGAGTTGAATAAAGTAACTAAACCTGTTTTGAAAGAGCAATGCCTAATATGAACTATACATTATATTGTAAATCATGCACAGAATAAATAGGTCTTTCTTGAAATATACACCGTTTCCCTAAAAGAATGGATTAAATCTACATCTTAATATACGTCAATAAAAGGTTACAGTACCTGCAGACTGCCTTGTGGGTTTTGTTAATCCAGTAGGATTACGTACGTTTCGGCAAATATATTGCCATCATCAGATCCAGAACTTGAAGGTTAAAATCTTGATTTTTCGACACACATGGTCACGTCAAAGTTTAACATAGAACACATACACAAAACGAACATTAAATACAAGTAGGCCTACTATTAAAAAAAGCATTTAGCATTTAGGACAAGCAATAAATTAGGGAAAATGTTAAACACTAGTAAAAATGTTAAGGAATTACAAGAGAAAACAGGAATTTATCAAGTTTCATGTAATGACTGCGATAAAATTTACATAGGTCAAACAGGGCGATCCTTTGGAAAAAGGTTTAAAGAACATCTTCCCAGAGCTACTAAGTCACAAAAGTCAAATTTCGCAGAACATCTTGTGAACGAAAATCATAATTACACTGATATAGGTAACAATTTAAAAGCGTTGCATATCTGCTGTAAAGGAACAACTATGACAACTCTGGAAAATTACGAAATCTATAAGGCTACAAAAACCCGCCCTCAGGACCTACTCAATGATAAAAGTACACTTCAATCAAATTTATTATTTGAAACTTTAATACAACTGGACAGAGACCAACACTTATGATACAGGATGCCTTGGGGTCAGAGTCCAGTTCACAGGACCTGACGACCACCAGTCGAGACTCGGCAAGAGAGATGCTTGCATCAATTTGTATCCTGTTCGGTTTTTTAATAGTAGGCCTACTTGTATTTAATGTTCGTTTTGTGTATGTGTTCTATGTTAAACTTTGACGTGACCATGTGTGTCGAAAAATCAAGATTTTAACCTTCAAGTTCTGGATCTGATGATGGCAATATATTTGCCGAAACGTACGTAATCCTACTGGATTAACAAAACCCACAAGGCAGTCTGCAGGTACTGTAACCTTTTATTGATTAGCTAACGTGGTTTAGAAAAACAACTACATTATGAAGTTAATATACGTGTTGCCAAGGATCGTAGAAAAGTCAACTATGGCTAACCTTAACACATTTACTACCAAGTGTTGGTTAAACTGCTCATACAGAGGAGTGTGACGACGAATAGAGAACCTGTTAAGTACCCTTCAACAGTAATCAGCTGTTCCATTGTTGTTAGCACGTTTGAATTTTCAAAACATTAAGTTGCAATATGGAGTTGCAGTTGAACGGTGTAATCAATGGTATATAGAGACGAAATCTGTGGTGTTATTTTTTGTCTGGGGGTTTGTGAAAGATCAAGTGTATCTATTGCTCCCCGATATCCAACATGAAGCAAAGATAAGGAAAGCCTTTGGACAAATATCTAATGAAATGCACCACAATTTGTTAAACCATTTGCTATAGTTAAACTATTTGCTAGTCAAGTTTGCCTGAAACGGTGTTTAATAAATACCCGTAGGTCATTTGGACCAGTTAGGCATTTGATGAAAATAAAAATCATTATTTCGTTTTACGTCTCCTTTTCACTGCCAACGAAAGTTTACAGTATTGCTTTTGAGATGTTTTTTGATGACTATAAAAACGAAATATACGTAATAATAATATACGTTAAAATGTAGGTTTTTTTGGAGTCACTTAGCCTGTTTTCTCACTACAATGAACATAAAACTGAAACTTACATTTTATCTTGTGATAAAAATAAATAGCTTTAGGCTTAGAATACTTATAAGAATTGTTTGAATTTCAAACTATTAGATATGGAAATTTTCTAAACTACCTGCAATCCCAAGGTATATCCGACATTAGTTTTTATCGTCCTATAACCTTCTATGAATAAAACGTTCTTGCTAAAATTGCAGCTTTAGTTGAGATTTTCTTATCTAGGTTAAGTTTAACAGTTACACTTTGCAGAACTAGGTTTCTAATAGAAATATCAAATTGAGATTAGACAATCCAAAAATTTAATATAACTTATTAGACGATTAGAACGCTATATTAAAAATACAGTAATTGTAATGCTACATTCCTGATAAATTATTATAGCTTGATCAGAATATTTCTAGATCGATAGAGAAAAATTCGGAAGATTTTTTTTGTGTAAAATTATACCAATTGGGTCTTGGGTCTGTTATTGATCCTAAAGCTAAGTTGCAATAGGCCTTGTGGGAAGATTTTTTTTGGTCCTCGGACGCTAGGCACGAGCCTGGAATTGTTTTTAACATTACTTCAGGCTAGACCTAGGGGTTGTGGCATTATCACTTGGATAAAACCCATTGGTGATTTGGCGGGATTTGAAGCCGGGACCTCTTGGACAGAATTCCCGCGCTCTAACCACTAGACCAGCTCGCTCCCCATATTGTGAAGGTTAGCGGTATTGTGAAGGATTATGTGAAGGTTAGCACTGTATCAAACTATAATATTCATTAATTACAAGTATGTAAATTGTTATATTTTATTATAATTTCAACTGTATTTTTGTAATTTTATGTGCCAAACTCTTACCAACTATTATTCAAACATGTACATATTATTGTAGTTTAATAACATAAAACATATATACACATATAATGAAAAATGATAAAATCAAACGTTACTCAAAATTAGTTACATTTGAACATACAGTGTACTTAGATTGTTCATGGTCTGTTAAACTATTTATGTTATATAAAATTTTATTGAGAAGAACTGTTATTTTCTAGATCGGAGTGTTGGTGTTATGCGGTAAGTTAACTAATGAGAAGTAACTATCTTAATTTGTATTCCATATTTGAATTATTAACATTAATTAATTTGTATTACTTAAAGAATGCTTTTTTCTAATACATTAATATTACCGGATACTAAATTGGTCTGGCTATAAACGCCCAGAAATAAGCAAGTTACACGTATTCAAATTTGTAAAAAAATATATAGATATTTTTTACATAAAAATATGGATAAAAAACATTTAAGAGCTTGGAACTGCATACTAACCAGCTGTGTAGTAAATTAAGCAGTTTAAATGCGAAAGGTTAAATTATTTTAAAAGATAACTACATTTGGATAGAAGGCTTAATTGCATCATAAAATTAAACTTAACACGAAGAAATCAGTGTCAACAAAATGTACTGCAGACTGAACTGTGTGCCATATTATGTAGTGCAGTACTGTATTGTTGATAAAGCTACTACTGGGACATAGCTTAAACAGTTGTCAACATAAAGCTGGTGACAATTCTCGAACCAGAACAATAATTAGCAACCCAAGTTCTGTTTATGACGAGTTGGACCAAAGTTGTTCGTTTGTTTCATTAATTACCCGAATGTTGATTGTGTAGATATTTCCTGGAATATTATTAAAACTGATGCATCCCACAGCGCATGTGTAAAAATTTGTAAAATCATTATAAAATAAAAAATTATCAATATTGTAAAAATGTGGTATGATACATAATTCTGCTAGATTCATCACTATGGAATGCTAGTTATAGAATATAATTAAACTAACCTTCAAACAGTATTTTTTATTGACTTTTACCCACACCATTTGTATTCCAAATTTGTTTGTCAAACCTTCTTAAGCCCCTTGTTTTAGACATTTTCATAATAAGGTTATACAGATAGGAAGCAAGTCCCGGGACGGATGAATATTTACAAAATTAATACAGATCAAGAAACAAATCCCGGAACCATCTACTGACCATAAACATCTATTTCACATATTTCTCAGCGACACCCTATCTTCTTAGTTGGACGACCCACTAGGAGTCTGAAGAAATTATTAAACGTAAGCATGGTATGACTTGGAAATCAAATTAAAGATCTTAATTAGATAAATAAAATTCGGTAACCCCGGGCAGAATAGGATAACCAAGTCAAATGTGGCAGCCGTTCAAAGATTTCCTGAATTTGCTATGGGAGTCGGCCTGCTAGGAGTCAGAAGAAAATTTTTAAAGTGCGAAAAGGTATACACACCAAATTAAAGGTCTTTATCAGTGGAATACAATGACGCCATCCCGATCTCAAACGAAAAACCGAGTCTAAAATGTCAGCCAACCTAATAATTAATTGTAATTGAACATCCTTTTTAACCTTGGATTTTATCAATGTGGGTGTAATAATAGCATATTCAAGAATACTTTGGAACGGTGCAATTCTTGGTTTATAATGCCGACCTATGGTTGAATAACATATTTAATTGATAGTCATATGTTAAGTTAGAGTCCAGAATCTGTCTCGCCCGTAATCGTAGACTATTGGATACTGGATATTTCATTAATAGTTAAAACTCGGAATCAAATCGGTAACCTCCATATAACCTTGAATATCTTGTACCACAATGTTTAAAACCTTTTTCTGTTGTAAACTTCAACGAATCACTTCAACTGATATAGCAAGAGGCTTAAGAGACTACAATACATTTCATTACAGTCCTCTTAATCAAACTTCTACCATTCAATAGGATTCTATAGAAGTCGGGAATAATCATATTGCACACGGTACTCGAACCAACTACTCAACTTGAGTAAGCTGCTAATCAAATACTGCAGCTCTGCTTTGGGATTTCTCTATTGATTCAAATTGAAATCCATAAAATATTCGTGTATTTAGCTACATGTTACTAATATCCTACTGTGTGATTGTAATACATTTTATATAAATAAAATATTATTTTTTCTGAGTTATATGTTTACTTCCTCAAACATTATGACGTAATATGAGTCCCAAGTAGTACAGTTCGATGATAGCAACTCAGTAGTTTTTTTACCAGCGTTTTAATACCACAAATAGTATCAAAACCTGATAATATCGTATTCATGTTGTCTTTAAAACGCTAGTTTATATTTATAATTTTTCCAAAATACTATTGGTGTTTCTATTATTAGATACTAATAACTGTAACATAGGTATAACTAAAATAACTAGTTGAAATAAATTGGAGTATGTTAGGATGTTAAAATATACTTACAATATGTTTAGATTTGTAATGAGAATGGAATACTTAGATAAAAGATAAAAATTGCTTATATATATTATTGCTATGTTTCTCTATAATGCATTTCACATTTGGTGTTGTTAATAGAAAAGTTTAAATATGTTTCACATAAAAGTTGCATGGGTAGTTTTCATTTTCTTCAAGCACTACAGAGTTTATCAATTAATTAACTTATACAAACTTCAGCCTTTAGTTGAGTTACATCCCCAAAGGGCTTGTTAACAATTCTGTTTATAAAATCCGATTTTTCTGATAAGTGAGCTATCTGAGGTAGTTTCAATGCTTACAATACTAGAACTAATTTTAATTTTTTTAACATAGTTGAGCATCGTTTATTAAAATTGCGTAAACCTTTTTGATCATGGTTTTAATAAAATCACAGAAATGAATTAAACTCAATAAGGATTGATAATTTATTTAAATTGACTAGATAATTTGTTATATCATTTGGTAGATATTTTAATGTATGTTGTGCAGTTCAATTGTTAAGTGTAGTTATGCATGCACTTTATGTTATGCACCCTGCTACTTTGAATTTGCAAAAAATGTTCAGTTTATCTTACTAGTAACGTAGTTTAATATTATTCTCATAAATCTTTGGTATATTAAATAAATAAACTGTCTGTACGCTTTATAAAACTCTCTCACTACTTATACATTTACCACATATGTGAGGAATATTTTTTTACACAATTTCAGTAGGCTTATATCCTAAATTAAATAAACATCACAGATAATTATTTTTTATCTTAAATTATAACAATAAAGTAAGTTCAAATCCGATGCAAAATCCAAGACCATTATTAACTGATTATATTATTAACTCCAACAAGCATCTAGATATCGACATTACAGTTAGACCACGCTTTTTATGATTCCCAATATTTGCCCTTTAATTATTTCCTAATTTATTTAACCAGCTAATTTGAACTATTCAAAGTGTAGCCTACACATTTACAATCTTGGAATATATTAAACCGGGTTTATACTCCACCAAGAGTGTTTGCATTAAGCATGGTCTGATCCACATTCATGGAAGGCATTGAAGCATTTGTGTGAGCACATTACCCAGTTGTATGGGAGGGAAAGTGACAGTTGCATAATGTTGACAATGGGTCCAAGACCTTCATGGGTAACTAATCCGAAGGAATTAAACATTGTACAACATTAGATCTTAATACAACATTAGATTTCAAAATTAAATAATGATTAATAAGGTTTTTTTTTTGACACTAGGCACGAACTCGGGATTGTTTTTCACATTATTTCAGGCTATATATAGGGGTTGTGGCATTACTACTTCGATCAAATCCATTCGTGATTTGGCGGGATTTGAATCCGGGACCTCAGGGACCGAGGTCCTGCGCTCTAACCAATACATTACTCCTCATCGTCTGTATGATGGGTGTTGTTTGAGTAGTCTATATTATTGCTCATTATATTCAATAAGGGCTGGCAGTGATAGTATAACCAATTAGTGATAAATTAATTACGTGAGCCTTAAAATTGTGAATCGAGAATTTTTGTGGTTTCTTCCACAACCTAAATTAATAGTTAATTTCTAAACGTTATTTTTAGTTAATGGTAAGCTTATAAGTGCAGCTGGTGTTTTGCTAATGGAAGTTTTTACATTTGTAAAATATATGTGGACTTTAAATTCACATAATTATCGAAGCTAAGGCCACTTTTAGAATAAATAAGTAAAGTGGTTAGGTTGAGCCACTGACAAAGTTAGTTAGTGTAATTGACTTTTTTGTCGAGTCTCCAAACCTTTTCAAACACACCAAACTGAATTAAACTAATTATTGCAAGCTATAGCATCTGTCATACCACACCATAGTTTCAAAGGCTAAGGTAATATTGTTTTGACATAAGCAAATTCTGTGGGAAGTTTAACACTAGGTTTCATTTGAATAGAAAATTGGCTTCAGCTGGTCCATGTAGATGCGATGTCTACTTTAGCATATACAAGCCAATGTTGCCAATCGCACTAGTTTGGAGATATAGTTGGTATATAAGTAATACTCGTATTTAGGTATGTGTTTTTACTTTCAACATTCATCGAGTTTTTACTTTATATCTGTGAGTTTTGTTGGATTTTTATACAAATATAATTACATGAAAACTGTTAGTTTCACAAACTTAAAATCATTCTTTTGCGCTCTGGTTTGGTAACATCTGAGGTTTCAATAAACAAAATCCAAACTGTTTACCTTTACACATACAAATTCGGAGTGTTTTCCAAGCACAAAAAGCTTTAGATGTTTAGCGACGAAATAAAATATGATTTTATGTTTCATGTTTGTTGATCGTAAGAATGGTTGAAAGATAGTTTAATGATACTAAATTGTTTAGAATATTGCACTTAAGTTTGTTTATGTTAAGAAAAAGATAAAAAAGAAAGACAGCCAGGATGTGCGAGACTGCTCACAATCTGTCGAATTGAGGAATGTGATAGTTGGACATCACAATCCTAAATCCTCCTTCATCCAAACGAACCTTTTAAAATTTTCTTTTCAAGAAGTAAAATCAGCAATGATTAAAATGTGGTTGACAAATTTTTGGATATTAAAAGGATACAAAATATGTTTCAAAAATTCTGAGGATATCCGTTACTACCAAGCGTCGATTCGAAAACTGCTGTCAATGAGTTTTAAGTCGTGTTTAAGATTTTTTCCTACCCCTGCATGGAAATAACCACATTGCCATATCTGTTAAATAGTTCATTCCCGCTCACTAATCAGCTG